CAAAAATATAATAGTTAAGGTTAAATTGTACTTTCTATATTTGTTATGTGGGTGTAATATTATATGGTGGTAATTATTTAGGTCCTTATAAGTAATTATTATAAGGGTTTCTAGGGTGTGTTTGATGTGTGTGGTTTGTAATTTGTGGCATTAACGATATATACATGAAATAAGGGTAAATCTATATTTACAAAAAAAAAAAAAAAAAAAAAAATCATTTTCCATAATTACACCAACCCCTGCAATTTGTAGATGTATTACAATAACACACTTTTATAGGAGGTGTGTGTAAGAAATTTACAAACTGCAGGCGGCTAGTGTATTTTTCGTAAATAGACTTTACATCAGGGAGGTGGTTGTAATTTACCTCAAATAATACTGAATTTTGAGAAGTTATTCAAGCAAACAATTATGGAAATTTCAATGATAGCAATTTAATTACACTGAATGTGGATTTTCACATTTTAATCTAGATTGAATTAAGTTATACTAGCGCTCTGCCGACAAATCAACTATTTTAGTTCGTACGATGTAAGATTTCTCTATATTAGCCATATGTTAGAATCTAGTACTACATTGGATTTCTCATGAAGTCCTTAGCACACGGCTCACCCTTCGTGTGATCAGTTTAATATTTTACTAGCTCGTACTACTTAGTACGTAACCGAGTAATATGCTAGTGACGTATGTTTTGACCCTTATAATTGCGCTCGTACGAGAATGTGTGTGATTTTAATGTATACGTCTGTTTATCTATCATTAGACAGAAGAAAAATATAGAAGAATTATGAGATTGACTTGTGGCAAGAAAAATAAGATACTTATTGAAAAATTAAAACAAAAAAAAAATGTTACATATGATGGACAAATAATTGGAGTTGGGCTGTTGGAAGTTTTTAAACCCAACTCAACAATATCTGGCCCAAAAGGTATTGCATTCGGCCTGGTATCTCTTCTCGACAGTATAATGAAAGAATTCGCAACTAACTATATCGTGCATTCTATTGAATTCGCATATGCATGTTTAATTAAGAAAAAAAAAAGACTTTTTATCAAAAGAGCAAAAGATTTATTAAGAAATTATCTCTCTTTACAACAATTTATAATGCATCCAACGAATAATTAAACACGATAGATCAAGCAAAAACATAAAATAAAAATATACTACTTTCAAAAAATAAAATATGAACATAAATTTTGAAGTAGATCCAAGTCACTTGGTTAGAGAATCCCATCCATCACATACAACAAATCCAAACCCAAAATATTAATAAATTAAGGGTAAATTACAACCACTCCTGATATATGGTTAAATTACGAAAAAACCCTCTCATTTTTGAGTAATTACAACCACCCCTCAACTATAAATCTTCTTACACATTCATTCTTGCGGTGTCAAATTTAGTGAAAGCATCTGGATTATGTAGAATTCTCCAGTTTGTACCCGTTTTACCGCATTCGAGCTCCACATTTTACAAGATGATCATAAGATGTGTTTTTTGGCTTGTAAATATCAGATTGTGGTGCATCAGAAACTGGATCTTTGCACAAAACGACTACAAGAACATTCCATGTAATTATCCATCTATGAGGGTTTTTTTCGTAATTTGACCATACATCAGGGGTCGGTTGTAATTTACCCTAATAAATAATGATAAATAGTTATACTTTTTTGGTGTTTTTGTGTTTTCATCAATTATAATAATAAATAAATAAATGTAGTTAAATGTGGAGTGGTCCCCTATAAAGTCACCTCCCACTAAACCGTAGCCCGTGAATGGGATTTAAGTAGTGGAGCAAATTGGAAAATTGTGGTGTCACGGGCTATGCATCCAAACTGGCATTATTTTTCTGACAAGAAGTACACACATTCCCCACTCGATTGTTTGCGGGGATTTAGATGCTACATCGATTCATATTCCCGGGTGTTTTTCAGCCGTCGATAGAGTTAATTAAGCACTCAGTAAACACACATACATGTCGGTTTGCTTATGTGGTTATGAATCCATTTACTAGTCCAATTCTAATATCTTAATTTCTAGTGAGAGTACAGCGTGAACCCATGTATATATGTCATCGGGTAATACACGATCAATTAATGTTTGGATAAAAATCTTTTCTGGCATCATTCCCTTTCGAGGACTCGCAAAAATGTTGTGGACTCTGCCATAATCTGTACGACGTATGTGATCATAGGGCTGGGACTGGGTTGGGTCGGTCGATTACCAGCCTAAAAACCGACCCATCCGTCAAACCATTTTTTCTCAAATTTAAAAACCGTTGCCGACCCAACCTTTGTGGGTCGGTTGATGGTTGGCAACCGAATATTTGGTTCCGAAATGGGTCGGTTGATGGTTTATACCCGCCACCTAGTTCACTTAAATAAAATTCAAAATTTTGAGTAAAAATATCCACATTTTGCGTAATGCCACGGTGCGATCATCATTTATCAGTTCAAAATAATTAATAACAATTTAACGAAAAAATATAATTAAGAAATTCAAAGTAATTTCAAACATGCACAAGATATTTAGTGGAGTTTTACGAGATTTTTGTTTAAGGTTGGGCATAAAGAAACTGGTTGAAGATTTATGTCAATTTTGTTTTCCTTTATTGATTGTTTAAAATTTAAAATACAAATAATTTTGATAATTTCAATAACCACTTAAGAAAACATGGCCTTTGTTTTATATTTTCAATAAAATTTTAATAGTATAGTTGGATAACCGATAATTATCGGTCAAACAACTTTTGATAATATTAGAAACCATCAACCGACCCATTATAGATGGGTTGGTTGAAATTTTCGACCTGATCCAATGGGTCGGTTAAAAATTGATTATCCGCCTAAAAACATGGTCGATAATGGGTCGGTTGGTGGATAAAAACCAACCCAGTCCCAGCCCTATGTGATCATGTGCAGATCAAGGATTAAAAGTGTATATAATCCGGTGTAGCATCAAATCCCCGATTTGGGTGCCTAAATTTGTGCTTAAAAAAATTAATTATTTTATGATAATATTTTCCATTGTGAGTGAAAAAACACTATTTTATTTTTTATTTTTTTTAGGATGAGAATTGGAATACATTTAAAACTCTAATCCCGCATCCAATTTAAAATACACAATGCATGAAAAATATTGAAAATTTTCAATCTCCGCTGATCCCAATCTGAAATATTGCTATTTTTGAATAAGGTTTTCATTTTGAATTTCGAGGGATTGTTCATTTTTCTTTTTTTGTTGAACCCGATTTTAATTTAAAAAAATCACTTCCGACAGATTTTATTTTTCGAAAGTGTCAATTACGATATGTTCGAACTTTGCCCCTAGTAAGAATATATATGTCCTTCCAAGAAAAGAAAAAGAATATATCATGTCCATATGTTTGGACTTAAATTAATGAGGAAATTCAGGTAAATTAGTCACGTTGCGTTTTATAACTTGGGTTTGAAGCAGTCTTATATTTGGGATCTGTGCTTCGTTAGATGAAACCTATTGGCATATTTTCATGAATGAATTCAGTTAAATATTTTATCTACGCAATAATGGTATTAGTAATGCTCACCGGAACGTTTATTGAGACGTTACATCGGATCATATACACCGGGTGATTTTTAATTATTTATATGGTTAAATAACCTCTAAACACACATACGTATTAGTGTGAATATGTACAAATCGCCAGCATGAGTGTAGCTCAACTGGTTCCGGATGTGGTAAATTGGTGCAAGTGAATATGTACAAATCTAACGGTTAATAATTACCGATGTATTTCACTAGACTATGAATTATGACTTGCGACTATTATTTATATAGTTAAATAACCACTCAATAAACACACAGAATATGAGTGTATGTGATTATGTACAAATCAACAGTTAATAATTATCCGTGTATTTCAGAGGACTGTGACTTATGACAGGACTGTTACTTATGATGACTTATGAGTATTATTTAGTATAGGGCTAAGAGTGGAAAATAAATAAAGTGGGAATATCCCGAATTTTGCATAAGTATTTAATATTTGTTAGTGGAGGTCCAAAAAATGTCATCATTAGGAAAAAAGAAGTCCAACCTTATTTCCTATCTTATGTATATACACAAATGGAAAATACACTCAACCATTGTCTAATTGCTTTCAATTGCCTGCAATTTATGAAAACCTAATTCAATTTTATTTGAGCCGACTCAAATACCTAACTTACAGTAAATGTCTGGTTACGTTCTCATCCCACTTTAATTCTTTCCTCGAAACGAATGCGTATTTGTTAAAGCTTTTAAAAGAATTCTACAAACAGCTTGTTTATCTCTCTGTTAAGATATAAAGTAACTGCTACAGTAAAATTTGTCTTCACTGAAACAAAAACAAACATTACTTTATTTTTCAAAAATTCTTCTTCTACGATACATTTTTCTAACACATTTAAACATGATTTGACCGTCGTTATAGTGTATTTTGCCTCATTTCAACTTATAAACATAAACATTACTTTCATTTCTCAATTATTCTCTCAAAACATATTTTTCCAAAATAAAATGACAATAACTCCCCAAAACGTATCCAATATATAGTAATACTACTTTGAATTAAAATTTAAATGCAAACTTTTAAAAACTAATTTTATACTACTTTTAAAAATAGGTCAATTATTTGAGAATAACTTGTAACTAAAAAACAACATTGGCTGCAAATAAAAAAATTGGAAAATAAATTCTTGCAGTCACGGAAGTTGGAGATAAAGAAAGTGCTGTAACCGTTTCTTGAAACTTTATATATGTGTATATATATATATGTATGCATTCTCTTTACAAATGTCTAAGCAAACAAAACACACACACACACACACTAGTTATATTTTTTTCCTATGGAGTTGCCAAGAATTCTTTCTCAGGTAATCTTCGTCCTTGCCGCCACGATTTTACTGGGATCGGATAAAGTCGACGGCCGGCGGCATTCCCACCGCGAATGGGACTACTTCGAGTACTGCGCGATAAGCTGTAGGGCCCACACTGCGTCGCTCGCGGATTTCGGCGGCGTGGGAGATGGAACAACGTCGAATACTAGAGCTTTTCAGACGGCCGTCGATCATCTCAGTCAGTTCGAATCGGACGGTGGATCGATGCTCTTCGTTCCTCCTGGGAAATGGTTGACTGGAAGCTTTAATCTCACCAGCCATTTCACTCTCTTTCTCCATCAAGATGCTGTTCTTCTTGCTTCTCAGGTTTCATTTCTTTCCTTTCTTTTTGGGTTTATTGTATTTAGCACCCATGTATTTACTTTGATTGTGAAAAAACTACCCATGATATAAATATTAGCAAAAACTCCCCTAATATGTTAAAATATTTATAGCAAACCACCCCTTTAAACACACATTTTATGGGGTTTTTGTGCCAAAAAATACATCATAGGGGTTCTTACTAATATTTATAACACTAATGTGTTTTTTTAGCAAATTTGATATAAAACAGAGTACTAAATAGTAAATACAATAAACTATTTCTTTTTATTACTCTTTTTGTTTTGAGTTTATTGCATTTAGCACCCTTGTATTTACCTTAATTGTGAAAAAACTAAACATGATATAAATATTAGCAAAAACGCCCCTATTACGCATGTTTCTAGCAGACTACCCCTAAAAACACACAATTTAGGGGGTGGTGTGCCAAAAAATACATCATAGGGGTCTTTTTTGTTAATATTTATGACACTTGTGTTTTTTTTTAGCAAATTCGATATAAAACAGAGTACTAAATACAATAAACTATTTTTGTTTTTTAGTTATATGTCCCTTTCTTCATCTGCTTCTATTTTAAATTTTAACTGTAGTATTTTTTTATTATTTTTTTAATTTCTAATTTAAAAAAAAATTATAAGCACAAATTTAACTGTAGTTGAAACATGGGCATGTGCCTTAAAATAATTGAGTTTTGTTTGGATGAAACATTTCACAATGAATTTATTCGAACTACCTCTCATTCCAAGTCGTTTGAAATCCTTATCTCGAAAATACTCGTCTCTCGATCGATGTTTTTCCCATCCAAACGCAACTTAAAGAAAACACTACGCATACGAAGCTTCGATTAAATAATCATGTGCAATTATAATGCTTGTCCTAAATAAAAAAAAAATAATACTAATATTGTGCCTTACGAATTAACGATAAAGGATGAAAACGAATGGGCCGTAATCGAACCACTGCCATCGTACGGTCGAGGAAGGGATACAGAAGGTGGACGATACATTAGTCTCATCTTCGGCACCAACCTCACTGATGTCATTATTACAGGTAAAAATATAAAAAATATAAAAAAAAATCAATAAATAAATTATGGTTTTACCTGATTTTTTTTTTTTTAATTTTGAAAATTTCAGGGGATAATGGCACTATTGATGGGCAAGGTGAAACATGGTGGAACAAATTTCACAAGGGAGAATTAAGTTACACTAGACCTTATTTAATTGAAATAATGTACTCTGAAAATGTACAAATATCAAATTTGACACTTGTTAACTCACCTTCATGGAATGTTCATCCTGTCTATTGCAGGTAATCAATCATCAAACAAATATTTGTTTCAATTCTTCAAATATACATATTTATTTTTATTTTATATTAATGCATTAAATTCGATTTTTTTTTTAATTATGAAACGCAGTAATGTGATCGTGCAAGGCCTCACGATTCTGGCTCCCGTGACATCTCCGAACACTGACGGTATCAATCCAGGTCAGTCGAATAAAATCAAAATTTGAAACGAGTCATTATTTTTTATCATTCTCTAAAAATTATGTTTGAATTTAATTCGATTATCAGCGGAGCCAAACTCGAACAACTTGATTTTTTTTTTTTTTTTTTTTTTTTATAATGTTGTTCAGTTTATAGAAAAAATATACATAATCAAGCTTGATTCGATTTTTTTTTCTTCATTTTTTATTTTGCAGATTCATGTACAAACACGAGAATCGAGGACTGCTACATAGTCTCGGGCGACGACTGCATCGCCGTGAAAAGCGGTTGGGACCAGTACGGTATTTCGTTCGCGATGCCAACTAAGCGCCTAGTCATCCGACGCCTCACCTGCATCTCTCCATTCTCCGCCGTTATAGCCTTAGGTAGCGAAATGTCCGGTGGAATCGAGGACGTTCGAGCCGAAGAAATCCTGGCCATCGATTCGGAATCCGGAATCAGGATCAAGACAGCTGTCGGGCGAGGCGGGTACGTGAAAGACATTTACGTCAGAGGCATGACAATGAAGACCATGAAGTGGGCTTTCTGGATGACGGGTAATTACGGGTCCCACCCGGACAATAACTACGACCCGAACGCACTCCCTTTAATCTCGAACATCAATTATCGAGACATGGTGGCGGAGAATGTGACCATGGCGGCTAAATTGGAGGGAATCTCGGGGGATCCCTTCACGGGGATTTGTATATCGAACGTGACGATTGAATTGGCGAAGAAACCGAAGAAGGTGATTTGGAATTGTACGGATGTTGAAGGCGTCTCGAGTGGGGTGGTTCCTCTCCCGTGCAGCCAGCTTCCGGAAGTTTCTGCGGAGTGCAATTTTCCGGCGGAGAGCTTGCCGATAGATAATGTCGAAATTCAGACATGTTCTTATTACAGAAGGAAGTATTCTTCTTCAGACAATGATCATGTGCTGAAACATTTGTAACTTGAAATGGCATTATAAGGGGGGCTTTGGTAATATTAATAATATGGAGGGTCTTTTTAGCAATTTAATATAACACAGGGGTACTAAATGCAATAGTCTCAAAAAAAAAAATAATACATATTTATTATTTATACAGAAAATATAAGAGTGCAAATACAAATATGATTAATGAAGTGGATCCGGATTAAATACAAGAGACTCCCTCCAAATGAGATCCTTGATATTTTCTTCGGTTATCGTTGGCTGCTCGAAATCGAAATTAAAAGGGGTGGAGCAAATCGGCTCGTCGTTTATATCATGAAGAGACGACAAGTATGGGTGACATATAGCTTCATCGACTGTATAGTACGATTCAAAAATTAAGATCGACATTTAAAATTAAAAACAATATAAAAAAAATGTTGTTGAATTAGGACAGTAATTACCAGTTATACGTTGGTTAGGATCAAACACGAGCATTTTTCCGAGCAAATCCAAAGCTAATGGAGTCATACTAGGAAATCTTGTCCCGAAATTTTGTTTAGGATACAAAGGAAGCTGTTTCACATATCTTCGCGCGTTCTCGCTTCGTAGAAATTTAAGGCTCCCTTCGTCAGGAGTTCCTAATAGCTTTTAATCATAATAAATTAAAAAAAAAAAACAATATAAATTTTTGGAGATGCAAATGTTTTAAATTGATTTTAGGAAAAACGACAAAAAAGAATACCTCGGTAATGAGCTTGAGTTGATGAACATAGTCTTTACCAGGGAAGAGGGGCTCTCTTGTAATTATTTCGGCAAAAATGCAACCGACGGACCATACGTCGATCGCAGCTGTGTATTCTGAGCAATTAAGTAGCAATTCGGGTGCTCTATACCAACGCGTCACAACGTATTCTGTCATGAAATCTGTTTCCGAGGTTGTCCTAGCCAATCCAAAATCTCCTAATTTAAGGTCGCAATTTGCGTTTAGAAATAAATTGCTCGGTTTTAGGTCACGGTGCAACACATTTGCCGAGTGCACGTATCTCAATCCTCTTAACAGCTGATACAGAAAATACTGCAAATAGTAGAATCATATTATTAATTAGCCGATCAATTCTTTTTTTTTTTTTCGTTTTCCTTTTTTCCGAATAAGTTAATAACAATAGTGGATAATTATTATCACTAACAAAAGTCGGCAAACTTATAGATTATTTACGTAATTCTTACTTCACGACAGTTCAGTTATTGCTACAAGACTCGGGCTTTTTCAACCGAAATGCTTAAACATAAGACATTCTACTTAAGTTGTGTTTCGTGGAGTTGACTTTCACTTATTCTCGATATTCGAGAAACGAAATTTTTGCAGCATACAAACAAAATTAGTTTGTTAATTCAAGAAACTAAACGAGCTATCAAACCTGACAATGGTCGTCGGTTAGTTCTTGATCGGATCGGATAATCTGATGCAAATCAGTGTCCATCACTTCATAGACTATGTACACGTCGTTAAATGCATCCCTTTTCGGTGGCCTTATAATATCCTTTATAGCGATAACCTGAGTGAAAATTAATCCCGAACAACAATTAACAGAGAGCATAAAAATTCAAAAAAAAAATCAAAACAAACAAAATATTTTAAACAATAGCGGAGTACGAATTCGACATACATTTTCGTGATCCAGGTGGCGTAAGAGCTTGATCTCCCTCAAAGTCCTTTTGGCATCGATTCTGTTATCGAATGCGTTGCCGATTTTCTTGATTGCAACTTCTTCATTAGTCTCTTTATTGATAGCAGCACTATACATACATACAAAATTTCAAGCAGTAAGTAAAGATCGAATTTTTAGGGTGATTTTTCTGCAATTTTTTTTTTTTAGAAATTAGTCAAGATCCAGACGCTAAATCTCTGACCCACGATGATTAAATACGAACAATTTAGTAGACATCGGGAAAAAAAAAAAAAAAAAAATAACCTAATAATTTTGACTGGGATTTGTTGTACTAACCAGACAAGGCCATAGGCGCCACGGCCGAGTGGTCGGAGAGGAGGGACGTATTTCGAGGAGACCTCAAATAAGTTACCGTACAGATTGTACCGCGCGTATTTACCGCCGTGAGTCAGCACTCCGGTTATGCTAGGGTTGCTTGAACCTGAACCGGAGCTGTTTTCCGGCGCCATGAGGAGAGTATGTAAGAAATGGGTTTTCTGGAGACGTGCTCACGGCGGCGGTGGCGGCGGCGGCGGAGATTCTGGTGGGTTTGACGGAAGAAAAGAAAGGGGGTGCCTGAGATTTACTGGGGTTCGAGATTTTCTTGGAAATCGGAAGTTTGAACAGAAATGCAGACGCGGTTTGAAGTTGAATTCTTGTGGGTACAAATTGGGGTTTGAAAAATAATTAATTTATTCATTTGATGCAATAAAAAAAATGATTTGTTATAACTTATAAATGAACAATTCAAGTGGGGATAGTAAATTAATATTTTGGTAATTGATATTATTATTATTATTTGGAAACAAATAAATTATTTCTGATAAGTTCAGACCAGAGATCGAATCTAATATGTATTATAATTCCGTTTGGAAGAAAATATAAAATCGGAATAAAAAATACAGAACGTGACGTCGGGAAATTTCGAATCAAAATCGGCGATTTGTTCCAATTTTCACCCGGGTCGTATTATATCACATCAACCATATAAACAATCTCAACAAGATATTAATATATAGGTATCTCACAAAATAAAAAAATAGAGGGGGTCATGCACAAAATTCATAGGAGGGTTATGTGTTTATATTGAAAATACAGAGGTTTATTTGCACAAAGTTCAAACCAGTGGGCCTTAAGTGTTATTTAACCTTTTTTTATTTCATCACATTTTCTTGTGATAGACACAAATTAGTAAGTAATTAGGTGATAAGTTCAATTAATAGTTCAATCAATTATTTAGATGGTTACTTAGCATTTTGACAATAAGTTGATCCAACACATTTGATTCATTCTACTTTATGACATCCTTAAAAAGAAATGGCTATTCACACTAATAATGTTGACTAATTTTGTAAAAAAAAAAAAAAAAAATAGTGGGCAACAAAGCCAATATTATTCTTTTATTTTGTTTTAAAATGATAAAAAGACCACATATAATAATTCCATATTATAGTTGAATTTGATCATTAAAATAAGGGCATTGTAATTTTTTTTTCTTTGGTTTTGAAATTGAAAGCATAATAGAGATTATTTATATGTTATACTACTTGAACAACCTTATAATATACCAATTTTTAATGTAAAAATTACGTGAGCAATTCAATTGTAATTACATGAATATGCACTCTATTTTTATTTATTAAGTTCTTGAAATATTACGAGTTTACTAAGACAAAAGGTAAAACGTGTTCCACGTTTTTAAGGTTGTCTTCTAAAGTAGCAATTTAAGTATCTCCAACGTGTTACACGTTGGGAAAATAAAGCTTACTATATTCGGATATTAACACCTTCTTGAAAGGCAAAATTAAACTTTTTTATATTCCCAATTTTCACAAGCAAGGCATATTTATATATACCAATAATGCGATAATTTTTTTTTTTTTTTTATCTTTTTTAGTTGAAAAAATTCAGACAATTATATAGATACACTTAGCTACACTCTCGTATGTTTGTATAGATTTTTTGCCTCTGCATTGTCCTCCTATAATAAAATGATTTAACAAGTAGAATAAAAAAAAGCTATGAATTGTGACTTGGATCCAGGGGCAAATCCATCGTTGAGAAGTGAGAGCCTCAAGACATCCTCAATTGTAAAAATCTCCATTGTAGTACGCCTTTATATTATTAAGTACCCACCAAATTTTTATTATTTAGTGCATCTAAAAACTAAATAAATACAAAAGAAGTAACAAGTTTTTTTTTTTTCCTATCTTTTGGTTTAAAAAAAAAATCCGAATATTTTTCGGGGGCGCCTGCCCTCGAACCCCCAAACAATTAAGTTCACTATGTAGCAATATCTTAGATTCATCGGTATAGGAATAATAATCTTTTTATGTTATATATTTATATATATTCGCCACTCTCCCCCGTGATGAAAGATCTTGGTTTCGTCACTGCAGGTTCGAATCTTCATTGTCAGCGGTCGCTAGCTAGGTGAAGTTTGTCACACATAGTTAACCTGACGTGTGATTTACATTTTACATATCTCGTATGGCTTACAAGCTACTCTAACGAGAATATAAGTTTAGTCAATCCATTTTTATAGTTTTCTCTCTCCTTAACGCTCTATATATACAAGCATAATATTACCTCTCTTATCTCACTGATCATATGATCATAACTCCCAAAAACCAGCAATTCTTACAAACTATATATATAAAAGAAAAAATATGTCTGAGAGTAGTGATCAGACACAAGAAAACAAGCCGACTTATGCAATGAGAGAGCTGATATTATATAGTAGTAGAGGAGATAATAACAATGAAACAAGCAGATTGTACTCGATAATCGAGCAGCACCCGCAAATCCTTAACGAGTTCGACAAAGACCCGTTCGCCCAGACACCGCTCCACGCAGCTGCCGGGTCGGGTCAAACCCGGCTGGCAATCGAGCTGCTAAACCTGATGCCCTCCTTCGGGAGGAAACTCAACCCGCAGGGGTTCAGCCCGCTCCACCTGGCGCTCATCGGGCGCCACCACAGAACGGCGCTGGCGATCTTACGGTTCGACAAGGAGCTCGTGAGGGTGAAGGGAAAGGACGGAAATACCCCTCTGCACTGCGCGGCGGGGCAGTGTGTGAAGGGGTGTGATGGGGATGATTTGGAGGTTCTGGCTAGTTTCTTGCTGGAGTGCCCGGATTCGGTGAAGGAGTTGAATAATAGGTTTCAGAGCGTGGTGCACGTGGTTATGGGGATCGACAACTGCGCCGCCGTGAGGTTGGTGCTGAACTGGGTTGTCAGGGTGGCGAGAGAGGCGGTTCTTGGGTGGAAGGACGAAGATGGGAACACCCCCCTCCATCTCGCCGTTCAACATGGCTGTCAAGAGGTTTGTTTTTTTCCTTCTAATTCATTTAGAGTAGAACCTCGATAAATTGATAATCTCGATTAAATAATAATTTCACGTGTTAAATTACTAACTCACTAATTTAATAATTTGCTAAATAATAAAATTTCCTTAGTTATGTCTGTATTTAATTTATAGCAGTTTAATTGTATTAATCTTCTCACTACTCTCTCTCTATATATATATATATATATTTATATATATTAGATCAATTATATTTGTTTCAATTTTACCATTTTATCACTCTTAATTAACGAAAATATAAATATTGAAAATTATTGACAATGGTATTTTTGTGATCTTCTGATTATTGGTCATCCAAAACGAGTATAATTTGAAACGGGTAATTCTTTTAAATTGAAAGAATTATATTTGGCTAAGCTTATAAGATGTTAAAAGAAACTTTTAAAATGTTTTTAGAGTTTATAAGTTATTCCAAAGTGTTTGATATTTTTTATAAAAAAAAATCTTAAATTATTTAAAAATGAGGTCTTAGAGAGCAAATAAGATATTTTCAAAAAAATATCTCTACCTTTTCTTTTAGATCTTATAAGGGTAAATTACAAACACCCCCCTAGGTATGGTCAAATTACAAAAACACCCCTCTTGTTTGGATAATTACAACCACCCCCTCAACTCCTCAAATTTAGTGGAATCTTTGAGATTATATGGAATATTATCACTTATGTACCCGTTTTATCCCATTCAAACTCTACATTATGAAGCAAGATGATCATAATATGTGATTTTTAGCTTGTATATATCAGTTTGTGGTGCATCGAAAACTGTATTTTTACACAAAACGAGTACAAACTAGAGCACATTCCACGGAATCTAGATGATTATGTTGAATTTGACACATTAAGGGTGGAGGTGTAAGAAAAAATCATAGTTGAGGGGGTAAATGTAATTATCCAAACAAGAGGGGGACTTTTGTAATTTGACCATACCTCATGGGGGTGTTTGTTATTTACCCAATCTTATAATGAATAAAATAGGAAATAAACTTATAATCCAAATATATACTCTAATAATTAATCCTATTAAAATATCTTATGAGTTATTAAGTGTGTTTAAAATATAAAGTTAGCCAAATAGCCTCTTAGAATCAATTAGAAAAAAAACAAATTAAATATTGAAAAAAGTAATAAATAATATTGTGAAGTGATGAAATGCAGGGTTTGAAAATAATGGTGAGAATCGCACACATAAACAAAAGGAACTCGGAGATGAAAACCCCTCTTGACATTGCCGAGGAAACTGCTTCTGTATCAATGGCCAAGGTTTTGAAGGCCGCCGGAGCCAAGAGAGGAAACCACCTTCGCCGGAAGACAACCGCCGCCGGCTACATGCACTCCCCGACGAACATCCTTGAGTCCGGCCTCCGCAGCTTCTGCTTCATGCTCAGGGACCTCACCCTCGACATGCGCAACGTCGTTCTCGTCGTCGCCGTCCTCATCGCCACCGCCTCCTACACGGCGGTGCTCCAGCCACCCGGCGGCGTCTCCCAGGCCGACGCCGGCGGTACCGCCAGCAACGCCACCGCGGCGGCGGCGGGGAAGATGGTGATGACGAAGGAGGACTACGAGCTCTTCGTGCCGGCGGCGACGGCGGCGTTCACGCTGTCGGTGGTGATGATCATATTCGTGCTACACGGGCGGCCGTACAACCTGATACTCCACGGCAGCTTGATATTTCTGGCGTACAGCTACCTCGCCGCCATGAGATTCATGTCGCCGGAGGAGGACCGCGCCGTCGCGAAATTCACCTTCATCCTCTCGTGGACCGTCATCGTCGCCGCCTTCGCCCTGAAGATTATGTATTACTTCGCGAAGGCGCTGTTCGAGGATTCGTGGTGGCTGCCCAGCTGTACGGTGGTCGTCAGTAATTTCTGCCACCGTGTCGGCGGCCGAACCACCCAGGACGGCATTTCCTTCTTGAAGAAGCTCCGTAAGCAGTGCAAATTAATTCTACCTTCCGGCAAGTACTTCTAATTCATTCATTGTTATATTTTATATAATATTTTATTAAACTATTATATATATATATATATATGTGTGTGTGTGTGTGTGAGAAATAAGTGCTGACAAATTAGAGTTTGCAGTATTAATTTGTCCCAATTATTATATGATTTTGTTTGTTTTTTGATCAGTTTGACCACGGGTTTGACTTTTAAGTGAAGTAATGCGTCGAATAAATTTTATTTAAATGGATTTGATTTTGTTCATTATTTATTATATATGTGAGTGGATCTATAGTGATACTTGTCAATGTCAAATATCTTTCATTAATGGATAATATACTCATACTAAGTTTTACTAAACAAATAATAGAGGTTAGTAAATAGTTGGACTGACAAGATTCATATTTTTTTCAAATATGTTACTAAATTTAAAATCAGATATTAAGTGCTACTGTTTCATTAAATTAGTAGCGCCCTTCTTCTGATATTACTTTAATAAGAGGAAGTAAAGACAATTTTATCATTCAAATTACATGTTAATATTATTAAATACAAGATTTAGTACACAAATCACATAAAATACTAGAATTTAACATCGTTAGCGTACTTATATCAGATTACATTGGATTATGTGAGATTGATCTTAGTATCCAATAAAATGTTTGATTCATTGGATTCAATATAGTATTAAATTTGTTAAATCCTAGTATTAAATTGGATTCAGTCTAGTATTAAATTTGTTAAATTCTAGTATTAAATGTGAAATGTCTGAAAAGTCTTTTAATTTACACAATTAAGATATTATTTTAAGGACAATTACGAAATTAATCGCATAGGAGGGATGCTACTAATTTAATCAAATAGTACCATTTAATTGCGGACTTTAAGTGCAGTAGTGGTCTTGACTCAATGTGAATCTTATCAACCAAACACCATATTAGCCCCTACTATTTTAGTTAATATATAACTTAATAACACTAAGAAAACGAGGCATTAATACAAGATCAAATTCAATGAACCAAACTTCTTACTAACCAAATAACTAATTAGTCAGTAGATAATTAGTGCAATCTTGTCTTATTCAAACTAATTGGTAACTGAAACGAGCCAAATGCGTCATAAATAATCATTACGGCATTAGGATTTGATCGCCGCAAAAACAATCCAACACTAAAGTCAATCCTTTTTACTCCAAAAAAACCTGGAGATTTTTTGTAAGAAAGATTAATAAAATGCTGATCAATACTTATAGTTTCAAAGATTAAGGGATACTTAATTACTTATCCTTGTAATTAGGTTAATATGAACTTGAACTTGTAATTAAGCTTGATTAGTTTAATTGGGCCCAGATAGGTAAGAACACACGGAATTGGGCTTCCACTTGTTTCAAAATTTAGTATTCATAACTATTGGGCCAAGGCCCATTAGATTCTTTTATCATTTTATTTTTCACAAAACTAAGCTCGAACTTCAATTTCGGTTAATCGATAATTTCAGAAATTAAAAAAAAAAAAAAAAAAAAACCACAGTTGGAATATTTTTGAAAATTTAACTGGAAATATCCAAAACTTAATTGATTATGTTTTCGAAAGTGCTGATTTCAATCCGATCTATTTGGTTTGAATTTATTTCGCAAGTGCTAATATCGATCCGATGCAAGTCTTATTTCATCTATACGTAGAAACAATTCAATTCAATGTGCATGATTGCTAAATTAAAACAAAAAAGAAAGAGGAAAATCATTACCTGGAATTTCGGGTGGCACTCGAAATAATATAAGTTGTCGATGATTTTGTAGATGTTACATCCAATGAAATACACCAAGTGATATGAAACCATTGATATGTACATCATAAACACACACACAAAATATATATATATATGCTAAATGAACAGTTATTTATATAGATTTATGGTTCGAAACCAAGTAATGTATTACACCAAATATAGCATAGACCGCGGCCAATTACCATAATTTCGTGTGACGGCCGGCCGGTAATCACTCATATTAGCAGTCGTAAAAGTTCCAAACCTCCATCATTTTTCAATTTTTATTGCGTCTCTAAAAACAACTTTTAACATTAATAGTTTGTAATAAAAAAAAATGTTTTATAACAAATAGTATGTGTATCCACTAATTAACCTTTTGAGAGTCAAATCTTTTGAACTTTTTTTATAAATGGGATGCTCCCAACCTAAGTATAGTGAGTATTGATTAATGGGTCCATTTGATATACACTCTTAATATGGAAAATATATAGGGATAAGTTCACCCCTAAAATTCTTCTTTTGAGATACTCCCTGAAGAGGCAAAAATATTATTGTGCCCTCAATTGCAATTTTCGTCCACCTGCATACAATATTTTCCCCCCTGCATTCAGCATATTGCCCAACTGCATTTAGCCTTTTTGGGCCTGCATTTATCATTTTTATGTATTTTTTTTAATAAAAAACTATAAATGTTTATTTTATTATTACTTTTTATGGGTTATTACTTTTTATGTTATGCGTAACTTCTTTTGTATTTATTTTTTTATTTATTTTATTTATTTTTTATTTTTATTTATTTTTAATTTATTTTTTTAATTTTTTTAATTTTTTAATTTTTTATTATTTTTGATAAATTTATTGTACTGAAATTGACTACATATGACTATAGTATGTATTCATGTACTGTCTTTTTACTCCAAAATTAATCTACACCAACAACAAAATTCATAATTTTAATCTTGATATTATAAATCAACTAACCAAAAAGAAAAAATGAAAAAACACAATCACATGCATATAATCTTCAAAACGTGAACACGCATTACTATACATTAAAAAACACACAGCGTGCATATAACTATATGTTACTACACGTGACTATAGTTATCTACAATATATAATCTATAGTTATATATTGTGACATAAAATCTAGACTATGAATCCAACTTCACAGGGCATTTCGCCGTAGTTTATTCTCTGGATCTCATAAAATTATACACATAGCAAAACCTGCGACAAAAAAATATGAGTTAAAGAGCGAAATGGAACATGTGAATTAAATTACATGAAAAATACAAAAAAACAATGATTTTTTTTTTTTTGTATAAATTTACCATGCTGAAATCGACTAGAAATTGCTATAGTATACTACAAGTTCTATAGTCATGTATGGTTATATGTAGCCATGACTACAGTTATCTATAGTAACATATAGTTATATATACAAATATGACTACACATGACTACGTATGACTTTATATGGTCACACATAATTGTATATCCATCTGAACCAAATCACCCATATAAGTAACCACTACTGATTAAGTTTCTACTGCAAACAAACTAATTAAGTTGCACATGATTCATCTCTAGAAACAAAATAGTTAAGATACTAGTAATCACGAAACAATGTTCTAGAAGAAGTCAAACATACATACGCATGACCTGTCTAGCCGAATGGGCTTCATTACCGTTGGGGAAGAGGGTGAGGACTTTCTTTCCGTTCACCGGAGCCGCCGATTCCAAACCTTCGCTGGCGGAATTACATTACATGAAAAATACCAAAATTATGAAAAACATTTTTTTTGATAAATTTACTATACTAAAATCGACTACAAATGAATATAGAATATACTACTAGTTCAATAGTCGTGTATAATTATATGTAGTCATGTACCTTCTTTTTGCCCCAGTATTCATTTTCCAAACAATTCACGAAGAAATTAATTACAGAAAATACACAATCACATGCATATGTTCTTCAATGAAGATAAATCATCATTATCATCACCCTATATTATAAAAAAAAAACCACATAACCCATACATGACTACATGTTACTGTATGATACTATATATGACTATGGTCATCTATATGACTACAATAATGTTACTTAGACGACTATAGTCATCTATATGACTACAGTAGCATATAGTAATGTTACTATATATGACTATCGTCATCTATATATATTGTTTTATACTCTTAATGAATTTCACTTCATAACATACTTTTCTCCAACATTCCTTATTGTATAGAAGTAGCAAAAACAACAATCCATGTGGCAAAATATACGAGTTACAGGAAAAAAAAAAACAGTAAAATCGGAAATCCAAATTACATCAAACCTTATTCGGGGACTATACTTTTTCTTTTTCCTCAGATATGGCCTATCATGGCCATATCAGAAATCGTGTAGAGGAAGTAGTCTTGTGAGAGATCTACATTATTTTGCCACCTTGCAATGCAAAAACCTCGACGTCGAGTTCCTGCACATTGTGCTTGAGAGTTTTGGATCAGCCGATTCAGCGTCGAGAAGTTGACGAAAGCTTGGAATTTCACGGCGCGTATGTCGGAGTGGCGTTTCTCGATTAGAGTGGATATTTCATTGGCGTACTTCGCGCCTTTGGAGACGTGGTGCTGGACCCTCTGGCGGAGGTTCGAGATGAGTTTGGCGGGGGTGGTGGTGCTGGTGCTGGTCAGGGCGGCGAAGGTGGTGAAATCGAGATCTGGGAAGCTGCGCCAGATGTTGTTCCATCGCTTCGATAGAAGGCTCGTCTGCGCCACGGATTTGATCGACATGTACGAGCAAATGTGGTCGATGACGTCATCCGGTAGATCGCGTATTATGTCTTCTTCTTCGTTGTTTGTTGTTGTTGTTATCGGAGCGTTGGTTGAAAGCTTTTTCTTCTTGGCGGATCTAGTTTCTTTTTTGTGTGTTTTTTTCTTCTTCTGTTTTTTCCTCTTGGCAAATCTGGATTCTTTTTGGTGTGTGTTTGTGTGTATTTTTCTTCTTCTGGTTGTTCTCGGGGTGATGAGAAAGAGAGATCTATAGAGAGAAAAAAAGTGGTGTGAGATTTGAGAATGTGGAGTTGTGCTGCGTGGAGGTAGGATTATTTTTTATCACTATTTCACTAAAATTGTCCATTAAGGGTAAAACAGTCACATCACTATGTCTAGGGGGTCTACCAAACTAAGTTCATAATTTGGATTTTTGGCTAGGGCGGAAAAAAATATTGGACCTCCTCATATATATTTTCTAAAATAAGGGGTTATCACTCATTTTCCCTTGATTAATTCTGTCTTTAACAACTTCAAAATAAAATAAGATTGGAAGGTAAAAAATGTTGTATCACTACAATCTATATAGTATCATTTTTCAAATTATTTTTGATTGGATCTTATGACTTGCACATCGTGTGGAATTTTGTTGAACCACCAAGTCTTGTAAATTTATTCTAGGCGTTGACCAAGTACTCCAGTCCGCAGTCGACGACCATATAGGCTTTGATTCATAAAAGTGTTGAACATTCCATGAAATCTAG